GCACCAAAAAAAAAAAAAGATTTTTAGAGGACACCAGGGTGGCTCTGCTCTCCAAACACCTGAACACTTTGGAAGGAGGTTAACATGCATGAACAATTAGAAACTCACTCCAGAGATGAAAGGGCAAAGAAGAGATCATATGGAACTGACAGGATGCCATCACATCCCCCAGGGTGGGCAGTCATTCCAGCCCATGGGAACTCAGAATGCTTCTGTCAGTCACACAGATCGCCTCATCTGCTGATGTGTTCCAGAGTTAGCCAGAGGGAGAACAAAATCCACTCTCTCACCTGAGCGTGGAAGCTTGTAGAAGGAAACAGCAAATCCCACCCTCTTCAAGGTTCATCTCACTGGGTATGGTGGTGCAGGCCTTTAACCCTAGCACTTGCACTCAGGAAGCAGAGGCTGGGGGATCTCTGTGAGTTCAAGGCCAGCCTAGTCTACAATAGTGAGTTCCAGGAGAGCTGGAGAGCTGGAGTTCTCTCAGGGTCTCTTGTGCTATCAGATAAACCATATAACATATTTTTATGTGAATTTATTATAATTTATACTGTGGGGGGGGGTAACTCACAAAGAGACAAACACCAGGTGCCCAGCTCTGCACCACAGCTCAGAGCCCACCACTCCAGATTGCTCCCGCGGCCCACCCATGGTCACAGCTAGTTTTCACCCACGCCTCATGGGGCCTGTAGTCTCTCCCCAGGTCGGTAAATGCCAGGCCATTCGGTCTCACGCCCCAGCTGTGGTGCTTAGGTCGCAGCTCCTGTCCAAGACGGCACCCAGAAGCCCTTCCTCCCATGGCTAATGCTCCTCAGTCAATTCTCCACAACAGGCCCCACCCTTTGGAGGAACCAGGCCCCCGGGATACAGACCCTGTCTCAAAAAGACAAAAACGAAAAAAATAAAGAGGTTCATCCCAACACCAACTTCAAAGAGCAAGCCTTTCTAGATGCTCTGACGGTATGGGTACCCGTGAGGCGGGGGGCAGGTGTTCCAGGCTCAACGTCCAGGGTATACAGTTTTACCCTTGTCCCAGATCTGTACAAGACCTCAAGCCACAAGGCCTTGCATGGTTTTAGGACTCTATGTATCTCTGGGTTCCAGAGCCAGGCCTGCCCAATTAGACATGGGCTCCAGGAGTGCATGCCCCAAGGGGTATCCATGGCAGGATGAGACAGGTGGCCCCACACCCACCACAGGGTCCCTGTGATGGGGGCTGCTGGTATTTTCTCCTCACTGAGAAGCATTTTGCATGTCTTCTTGTCACTGTCAGTGTGAGTCTCTCATGTCATCTGTGCTCCTGGGGAGGGAAGCACTGAATAAGTCAACCAGCCCTTGGTTCCCATCCCATTTCCAACTCAGAACTTTGCTCTCAAGTTCTCAAAGTGGCACAGGTAGCATGAGATGACTTCTATACACCGGCATACCCATTTGAGAGAATGTCATGATTTGACATCAGACCTTGTCTTTAGATGAGGATGGTGCTACCCTCCTTGACGATGGTGAGGACCAGGGGCTGCTATGAAGGCTGCTCCTTACAGTCACTCACACATGATGTAACACACATGACCATGATGCTGTGATTTGAGCCCCTAGGGGGGAAAAGTCAGATCAGCCCTTTCATTCTTCTCATATTAACATTTAGGCTGCTCCAAAACAAATAGAAAGTAGTTAAATCCTCCTGTCACAGTTTGAATATGAAATCCTCCCCATAAGGGGTTCACCTACATTTGAACCCTTGGTCCCCAGCTGGTAGAGCAGTTTTGGTAGATTGTGGTACTGTTAGGGGGTAGGGGAATGGCTCACATTGAGGCTTTATGGCCTGGCCCCACACATCTCGGCTTTGCTTTCTGAATGTGGGCAGTGCAACCAGCCATGCCATGCTCCTCTCACCTCCCCTTCCCCACTGTGATGGGCTGTAGCCCCTGAAATTGCAAGCAGAAATGACCTCTTCCTTCTTTAAGAGGCTTCCTGTCAGGTACTTGGTCACAGCAATAAACCATGTCTTATATACATATAAAGTCCCCTCCCTTTCACAGCCTGAGGTGGAACAATGAATGGCACATGGCACAGTGCCGTGGGAGAGACAGTGACCCCAAGACCTTAAGAAAGGACTGTGACTGTTCCTGTGTTTAGGGAAAAGGCCTTGGTGGGTGTGACCAAGTTAAGAAGTTTGCAATGAGCTTGTCCTGGATAATCCAGGGGGGTCATGAATTCAGTGCAAGGATCCTTACAAGAGATAGAAGAGGAAAAGACAGACATGGGAAGAAGCACAGGAGAAGACAGAGGAGAGATAGGGCCACATGCCAGAAGCAGGCACAGCTTAAGAGAGAAAGAGTTTCTTTTGGCTTACAGTTCCATCGTAGCAAGGAAGGCATAGAATATGAAACAGCTGGTCGCTGTGCCCACAGTCAGGAAGCAGATCGAGGACAGGAGATGGGACCAGGCTATAAAACCTCAAAGCCTGGCAGGGCACAGTGGCACACACCTTTAATCCCAGCACTCAGAAGGCAGAGGCAGACAGATCTCTGTGAGATCGAGGTCAGCCTGGTCTACATAGCAAATTCCAGGCCAGCTGGGACTACAGGGAGACTCTGTCTCAGAAAAGAAAGAAGGAAAAAGAGAGAGAGGGAGGGAGAGAGAGAGAGAGAACAAAAGAGTGGGGGCTGGAGAGCTAGCTCAGCAGATAAGAACACTGGCTGTTCTTGCAGAAGACCTGGGTTCGAATCCCAGCACCCACATGGCTGCTAAAAACTGTCCATAACTCCTGTTCCAGAGGCTCCAACAGTCTCTTCTGTCCTCCACAGACGTTGCACAACACAGGTGCACTTACCTACATGCAGACAATTACATGTATACGCACAAAATAAAAATAATAAATAAAATATTTTTTAAGGAAGGAAGGAAAGGAAAAGAAAAGGAAAGAAACTATTGGGGACAGTAGGAGACCCCTCTCCTGGGATCTTATAGTCTATGGCACTTTGACCTTGGATTTCAACCTCCAGAGCCACAATACAATGAGTTCTCCCTGCTTTAAGCCCCCACACGGTGTCTGGTGTCTCTTTAGACCTCAGTTTCCAGGACAGGAAAACCGTAAGCAGCCGCTAAAATTCTGGGTTCACTGGCACCAAGCAGCTTTGGCAGGAGGAAGAGCTGGGGAGAGGCCAAGCACCCAGAGTCTCTGAAGAGTCAAGGCTGACCCTCTACCCAGTATTACACCCACTTAGGAGAAGCCCAGTCTTGTGGTGCCTGTCCCCTACAGGGTTTCCATAGAGATCTATGAAGCATTTCAAAAACAAGATCCTGCCATGATGGCAGCAGTGATGCAGGAAAAGGCACTCGAGCCCCAGCAGCTGCGCTGGGAAGAGGCAGCCCTGGATGCTCCGTACTGCCCACCCTTTACCCTTTATGAACAAAGTATTGGGAATGAAAGAGATGCCGGGTTATTTTGTGGCAGGCTTTTTGTTTCCTCCCACAGTCCTTACTTCACATGGACATGTTTTATTGCATACAAATGAAATCTTTAACCTGTCAGTTTATCTCTTGTCTCTATATATCAGATACCTGTGCGTCAGTGCCTGCACGATATCAGAATGCACCTGCTGGAAGCATTACTTTCCAATGCATCCAAAAGAAATAAATGAATTAACTGTTTGCCCACCTTGCAGATAGGTTGATGTTTGGATTTGGCTGCATGAAGATTTGGTCAATACCTGCAAGGACTGGGACAAGAATGATAATAAGAATGACAGTTACGGCACCATTACTGAGCACTTAGCAAGTGTGAGGCACTCTGCCACGCATTTAAGAAGTAGCAATTCATTTAATCCTCCCCCAAACACCGTCAGATGGAAATTAAGATTACCTTGTCAATTACTGAAATGGGAATCAGAGGTTTTGAATGACTTGCCAGAGCTCATGGGCTGCAGAAGTGGGATGCCAACCGAGTTTCCCTGCTCCAAGGCCTATGACAGTCACAACACACAGCTGCCCCACAGTTAGGGGAAGACCTTGTTGCAGCCACAGGACATGAAGGAAGAGTGGCAACCTGGCCGGACTCTGTTACTCAGTATACGTGTGTTGCTTTAGTAGAGATGTGAATTAGCCTGAGGACATGTCAACAGAGGACTAAGCCTGGTGTGAGTGCATTTGTGTGTTCATACATGTGCATATGTCCATGTGTGTGCACATGTGTATGCTTTATGCATATGTGTATGTGCATTATGCACAGTGCATTGTGATAAAGTGCATGTATGTTTGTGCGTGCTTGTGTGGTGTTACATGGATTACATGTTGTATATGTGCATATCTGTGTCCTTGTGTTCATTTGCCTGACAGTGAACAAAGAGGTTGTGGCACAAGCTGTTGTGATCAGTTCTTCAGGAGAATGGCCTGAGCTACGCCAACTGTTAAGTACTGGTCTCTGATTCTAAAAGAAAAGAAGAGCAGTGGCCAATAATCCAGTGAGTGCAAACCTGCTCCCAGTCATCTCAGGATTTCTCTCATTGGGTTCTACCTGAAAGACTCCTCTAAGTCTGCTGCTGTAGCACAGGAGAGGAAGGAACTGCATGTTTCCATGTAAGAGGTGTAAAAGTATCCTGTTCATACACAGGAAGACACCTGCTCAGACACAGGGCAGGGATATACACAGACACAGGGCAGGAACCTGCTCAGACATGACGTAGGGACCTGCTCAGACATGGGGCAGGGGCTGACTTAGACAAAGGGCAGGCACCTGATCAGACAGGGGCCAGGCACCTGCTCAGGCATAAGTCTGGATTTCCATCAAAGGCAATGCTGGGGGGTAATTCCTCACAACTAACTCCTTCCTAAGCCATGGAGCAGAGACAGATACCACATGATGTGCTAGCACAGACATTCATGACAGGCACCTCTGGATGTCTGCATAAGGAATGTAAGGAACAGAGGATGCAAGAGCCAGCTGTCTCTCTTTGCTTCTTCTCGGCACATCAAAGAGCACTGGTGCTTGTGTCTTTCAGGAATTTGCTGACTCCGTGTCCCAGCTGGTCATACAGAAGTTCCGTGAGCTGACAGGTGGCCTTACGTCTGTGTATGCCCGCCACAAAGCACTGGCAGGAATCGTCATGACCAAAGGTAACCACCTCTTCCTTTTCCTGTGAGGATTCTCATCTCCACAGAAAGAAATGATAATATTTATCTGATCCTAGGAGTTCTTTCTACCACAGGAAGAGAGGAAAATAAAAGAAAATATAGAATACAGAGACATCAGTGCCCAACGTCAGTACCAGGAACAGGCACACAGGCAACAGTGGTATAATCAGCCTGTGAAAACCTTTGCACAAGCTTCCCTTGCTGTCCATGAGCTCCATTAGGTTTTTTCCCATGTTCAGGAATGATGCCGATATTTGTAAAAGCTGGAATCAGAGCCAGACTAGGCCACCACATAAGTCACTTGGAGCTGACCAATAAAGAGGTGCCTTCCTTCCCAGTCACCCTGAACGTGCCTAAGATTGAGGGCTAATGCCATCGCTTACATGGAACATGTCACCATGTCACCCATTCAGAGCAAGAAGATGGGGTCAACTTGTATAAAAACAGTCAGGTATGGAGGCCAACTACTCTAGGGCTGTCAAAGTCTTAATCCCATGCCAAAGAATATCTGCGGGCCTGCCTCAGTGTACACACAACACTCTCATTCCCTGTGGAAGGCTATGAGGGAAGAAAAGGAGGGGTCACCAGAAGGACGTGAGAGGACATGGGGAACAAAGAGGGCACACAGGGGAGCAGAGGGGAATGCAAAGGGACACAGAAGGCACAGGACACAGCAAGGACATATGGGAACCCAGTTAGGGCACAAAAGGGCCCAACAGACACAGAATGGACACAGGGAGATACACAGGGACACAGAGGTCATACAGAAGGAATGCTGTGAGATTCAGAGTGGACAGAGGGACACAGACAGACACGGGGGAGATGGAAAGACATAGAGAGACACAGGGACATGAAAAGACACAGGGGGTGTGGAGAGACACAGAAGGACATGGAGACATGGAGAGAGGCAGAGATACACACTGAGACATCGGGGCACATATAAAAGAACCTGCCCCTTGAGAATTCTAAGTTCCTCTTGCTGAGGACTATAATATAACACAAACTATATATACTGTACGTGTAATATAATTAATATAATATGATAATATACTGTAGGAATATCCTCTTTCCTGTCTAGACTCTCACCCAAACTGCTCTCAGAGATGGAATTCCATTCTAGAAAACCATAAGGCCAGACCTGGCAAGAAAATAGTCCATCATCATAGAAGGTCAACGCAATAAGCCATGTTGAGAGAAAAGATGACTGGATTTGAATAATCAAATTTCTGAAAACTTGTAATTATTAAGCTATCATAACTCACCACCTGGTGATGTGAATTCAGCTTCTTTTATCTCTAAACTAGAGAGTGACTATCATAGAATAAAAACAATTTGGAAGTGACTTCAATCTGAAGTCTAAAAATATTTACACTTTAAAAAAATCAATGAAAAAAAATCAAATGTGGTGTCCTGTGCAGGGCCAGGCCACTGCAAGGGCTGTCTCCCTGCCTTCACAAACCTATCTCTTAAGAACAGGAAATATTGGGGCTGTAGAGATGGCTCAGCGGTTAAGAACACTGACTGTTCTTGCAGAAGACCCAGGTTTGAATCCCAGCACCCACATGGCAGCTAACAACTGTCCATAACTCCAGTTCCAGGGGATCCAACAGCCTCTTCTGACCTCCGCAGGCATTGTACAACTCAGATGTACTTACCTACATGCAGACAATACACACATACACATAAAATAAAAATAATAAATATTTTTTTAAAAAAAGAACAGGAAATATTCAAATTCAGCTCACTGTTGGATGTGGCCTTGGCTTATCCAGTCACCCAGCAGCCATTAATTTATGCCCTCAGCACCATTCAGCATGAAAAGACAACCTCCCACTTGGGCATCCAGCTGCCCAGTGAGGAAGTCCTATAAAGTGGTTCAGACCAAGCATGTGGTTCTAACACGAAGTTACTTAGGTTGGAATCCCGGCTCCATTCACAGCTAATTCTGTGGTCCCAGTGCTTCTCAGTTTTCTCACCTTAAAATGGGAACAATTTAAGGAGTATCATTCTAATAGGGTTTTGCTGAAGGTTAAATGTCTGAATGTGTAGTGCACTTGGAAGGGGCTGTGTGGGAGTTGTCTAGATCAGGTTGCCCTGTGGGAATGTCTGTGAGGGATTGTCTTGATGGTTAATTGACATTGGAAGACCCAGCCCACTGTGGGTGACACCATTCCCTAAACAGGGAGCTTTGATGGTGTAAGAGAGGAGAGCTAGCTGAGAACAAGCAAGTAAGCAAGCAAGCCCAATGCATTCCTCTTCACTCTTGACTGTGAATGTGATGTGACTAGCTGTTTGAATTCCTGCCTTGAGTTCTCAATGATGGGCTGTAACCTGGAATTGTAAGCTAAATAAACCCATTCTCCCTTTTGTCAGAATATTTTATCACATCAACACAAATGAAGCTAGAACAGAGGCTAATCCATTGTAAGAACCACAGTGTTAATTATAATTAGTACTTTTAATTAGTACCTCTGTATGCACAAGTTATTAACTGAGTGCTAACCACTCCAGAATATTGGGAAACAGCAAAGAATAAAGTCAACCAAGTGCCTACCCTTGTGAATCTGACATTCTAGTGGGGGGAATAACATTGTAATAAACAACTTAAACCCAGTACAAAAGGAATAGTGTACGTGGAGTCCCCGGACCATGCAAAAAAAACTTCGGCAAGTTAAAAAATGTGAGGTGCTGCACAGACTTCCACCACAAATTCCAGAACAATTCAGTTTAAATTAGCTTCTTGATCTGTAAAACAGAAGAGACAAGGGGGTGGCAGAAAAGAGGGAATGAGGAAAAGAGAGGCGGGAGCGAGAGAGGGAGGCCGACCCCAGCCACTGCTGTTTTTTCTGATGCAATTTGCTTCCGACACCAGAAACATAGGTAAGTGTGGCGCTGTGGGTCCAATTTCAACACTTTCCAGCTCTGTAGCATCTTTCCACTTTTCTGGGAAACTCAAGATGGCAAGTTTTGGAAGCTATTTGCAGACTTCACATGGACAGCAGTCATGTTTTACAAAGGCTTGTGAAAAGACAATACTTCAACTATCAGCACCCACTGCTTTCAACACGGATAACTTATTTGTTTGTGTGAACTAAATTTATTGTGTGAAAGTGAGTCTTTACAAGGTAAAAGTTTAAAACTGCTATCTATGAACACTGGAGTATAAACTACTGAAATTTGTTGTCCTGTTATATAGGGAATAGCTAAACATTGATTTAGAAAAGATTAGGAAGAAATGTGCAAAGTAACAAATAGAAATATTTGTAAATATTTTTTTACTTAAAGCTGATGTGCCATGTAATCTTAATTCTGCTCAGCTATTCAAGCAAATACCTAAGGAATTCCAAGAGATAGTGGTTTGAATGTTACATATTACAATACAATAAATTAAACTTATTCCAAAATAAACTCCATTCAATTTTCCATCTATTTATTAAAGGAATAGCATTTTTTGCCATTATGAGAAATACTACTAGGAAAATATATGCTTATGAACAGACTAGATTTCTAATCTTTATCTAATTATCTCAATCACATAGTAAGACTCAAGAACTTATGAATAGAAACCAATATTCTTCCATTCCAATATTCACTTCTCTTTACTCCTGGAATCCATCTCTACTCAATTTTAATTTAACTTTTTTTATTTTTTGAGACTGTCATACACGAGTACTGTACTTAAATCATTTCCATTTTCCTTTCCTCTGCCCATGCCTCCCATGTTCTCTTTCCCTCTCAGTTTCCCAACCTCTAATTAGTACTGTTACATATACGTGTGCACATATACATAAACAATCTACTGAGTCTCTTTAGTGGTGCTAGTATATACATGTGTTTAGGACTAACCACATGGAATTGAACAACCTATCAGGGTGCTCATCCTAGAGAAAAAGGATTCTCCCTCTCTCAGCAGCCATGAATTTCCCATAGCTCTTCATCTAAAGCTGAGGTCATGTGAAATTTCCCCCATTCACTTTGCCATGTCAGCTGGTGTTGACATTATGTAAGTCGTATATAGGCGACCATATTGTTGAAGCTTCTCTGTAGTGTCTGGAAAGCCCTATGCAGCACCAGGAATCCTATTCCTCTGGCTCTTACAGTCTTTCTGCCCCTCCTCTGAGATGTTTCCAGCACCCTGGGTGTAGAGGTTGTATTTTAGACATATCTGTTAAGACTAGGAACCTCATAGACACTTATTCTCTGCATTTTGACCAGTTTGGTATCTATGTTTTCATCTCCTAATGTTACATACAGAAGCTTCTTTGATGAGGGGTGGAGCTACATTTATCTATGGGTTTAAGAATAAGTTTTTAGAATTAGTTAAAATTTGTATTGGTTTAGGGAAATGACAGTAGTAGGCTCTCTTATAGGGTCTATGCCCTCTCCAGCCATAGTGTTTGACTAGGTTTACAGTACCAGGCATGAATTTCCTCCTACTGAGCAGGTCAGGTCTGAAGTTCAATTAGAAGTTGTTGGTTACCCCCCAAGATAAAAGTGCCACTGTTGCATGGTTAGGGATAACTTGGGCCAATTTTTGTTGTGGTTCACAGGTTTTACAGCTGGATAGGACTGTTGGCATCTTACATAGCAACACAACATCTTACTCCCTTGGCATTTATATAGCAACACTCAATACTGTGAGAGCTAGTTCTCAGGGAGGAGGCTTCCAGGTCAGTTCCAGCTCAATTCCTCCAAGTCCTGTGTCTGAAGTTTGTGATATCTTAAACAATAGGGTCTTACAGTCAAGTTCTGAGAGGCAGCCAAGAACAATGACAAAAAACTATAGTTTGAGGAGTCTCTTTGACTACCCGGACCAACAACTCGAAGAGAGGTTTCCCATGCTTAGAACTTGGGTTTGTGTTAGATAGGCTATGGTTCTTGGTTATTACCCTGGTGTGGCATATCTCTATATGAAATATATATCTAAGCACGTATATATTATTTATGCATTAGGTTTACTTATAAAATAAGCATATTTTTGT